CCTGTCTCCTCTCTCCTCCTTCATCTGCACTCTCTCTCTCTCTCTCCCCCCTTTAATCCATGTCTGTCATTGCTCGCTCTGTCTCTCCTTCATCGCCCTCCTCGCTGCTCCCTCCTCCTCCTCAGCCTCTGTCACTGGTGTCTGGCTCAGTGTGAATACCAATGGAGAATGAGTGGGCGAGAGAGCAGCAGAGGCAGAGAGAGAGCATGCTAATAGGGCAGAAGTTTCTGGAGCTTGACTCCCGCGTTTGGCTCGTCCGCCTCGGCCTTAGAGCCACAGCTCACGCCTTCTGAGGAGGAGCGACAGATGTGCGAGGCGTCTGCACTGAAGCACAGTCAGCCATCAGAGTAGCAGAAGCTCGGCTGTTTTCTCAGAGGTCTAAAACGACATTTATCTGCCGTCTTTGTCACCGCATAATCATAAATCAACACAGTGCACGTTAGCTAAAACCTGCCGCTAGCAACCAGGCTAACTTAGCATGCTAGCGTTACAGCTGTATCCTTGAGCTAAAACTCAAGAACTCGGCCCTCTACGTGACTCACACCCAGCGAGTCTGATATCACACGGGCCAAAACGCAGCAGTTCGGTCATATCAGACTTATGGCCTCAGGAAACTTTCAGGGTCATGCTGGGAGGAGCTGTGATCACACATGCACACGCCTACGTCACCACGCCGTGCACAACCACACACACGCAGACTGAAAACACAGGCAGGAAAAAGGGTGTTTTGGTGAAATCCAAACGCATTTAACACATAAGCTACAGCTACATCCTCTGACACCACCTTACATCCACCTGTAACTCAGTCTTCAGCCCGTGTGACCTCACTGAGTCACATGATGACAGAGTGGGTCACTGACTCTTAGGACCTCCCCCTCTGGGGTGAGACAGCTGCAGTGCAGATGTTTCAGATGTGGAGGTGCCGCTGCGTGTCAGTGTTGCGCGTCCCTAAAGCCAGACTTCCTCTTTTGGCGGCCGGTACGCCACAGCGATGCACCCCGGGCTCTGACGTCCTCACACTCAGGTCACACATCCGTCTGCGTGTCGCCGTGCCGTCAGTCGTGCAGTTAATCTTCTTCCTTACAGAAGTGTTTTTAATCATGGGTGCGATGGCTTCGTGCTGAATCTGCTTAGAGTGGCTCATTTGTTTGATTGATTTCACTTGATTTTCTGGGACAGGAAGAGCTCGTGTATTGATCTGAGCTGCAAAGAGGAGACAGGAGCGAGCAGAGGAGTATGAGGAGAGAGATGGAGGGAGGCATAAAGCCGTATGAGGCAGACAGATAAAAGGACGCAGAGAGGGAAAAGCTGAAGTTTCAGAGTGAAAGAAAAGAGCAAACAGTGACAGAAGAAGCGAGAAGACTGCACCCAGAAGATTTCACCCGCCACGCCACAAAGTTGTTTTTCCAATCCAGGCTGACAGCAGAGAGGGAGGAACTTTGAAAGTGACGGAGCAGAGAGAGACAGAAACAAAGAGCGAGGGCAGAGAATGAAACACTTCAGTGTCGGGCTGTAATTAGCATAATATTTTTCTCTGTGCGTCTCCATCATCCTATTTATATCTGTCAGAGCGAAGGACGGAGATGAAAGAGTGCAAATAACGAACATGAAATCGTGGCTGTTAGACACAGGGGAGTGTGTGTGTGTCTGTGTGTGTGTGTGTGTGTGTCTGTGTGTGTGTCTGTGTGTGTGTCTGTGTGTGTCTGTTAATCCTGGCTGGACGTGTAATGACTGTTCGCTCTATTTCAACAGTATTTTGCATAAAAGACAAATTTGTTCCGCGGTGTCTCGTATCAAAGTGAAGCCTCGGAGGCCCCGGGGCGATGCTGGCTTTGAGGTTAGAGATGGTTGCCAGTTCGAGTCCCGCACCAGCGGGGAATGGGAATAAACCCCTCCCCCCTGACGACCAGCAGTGCAGGGCGTGAAATTAGCTTTTTGTTTCTGGGGGTATATTTGGCCCTTTGATCGGGTTTTCGGGGACGAGCAGCTCCTTCTGTGCGACTGAGACGAGCTATGAAATAATAAGAGGGAGCGAGCGGCGCCTAAAAGCAGCACGCCGCCTAAATGTGATGCATCGAGCTGCAGCAGGCGTCACTGAAAACCCTCACCTCCTGGTAATGAGGCGCTAAGGTGGGAGTCTATGGGTGGGACCCAGAAACAAGCTAGCTTGCATGCTAGTTCCAGCGTAAATGCGTTTTTACTGCAGCTGCTGTCGGACGCTTACCTGCCGACGGCCAGGTGAACAGCTCAGTATCATAACACCTGTGCTGGATTACAGGGGTGACGCAGACCCACAGATATCAGCTGTTTGATGATATCACAGCGTTAGCATTGATAACAGCTGATGCATGAACATAAAGTGAGGTAGAGAATGCTACAAGTGTCCACTAGAGGGCGCTCTGCAGCTGACCCGTTGACTGCACACGGCGGGCTGCGACAGGTGAACGGGATCATTTTTCAGATGCTTGGTCAGGTGACTGTTTGTGCTTGGTGTGTCAGACGTTTACATGGCCAAACATCGCTGAGAGAAACGGCCATCCTGCTCAACCTCAGCCGCTCCTCTTATGTCAAACTCCATCAGCGCTCCGGAGGGTTTCCCCCTAAACGCTCCTGATACGTCCTTGAAATGAAAACGTTCCCTCCTGATCCTGTTACAAAGAGAGGTTTACCGCCAGGTTTCCATTCGCCCTCTAACATCTGCTTTATTGAAACAATCCATCAGCGCGTAAACAGGACGGCTTCGTTCGCTTCAGCAGAACAAATAAAGGCTGAAGTGGAAGCGTGTAAAATCATCCCTGAGCCTCGGAGACCTTTCCTGCCACCAGTCAGCAGCTGAAGGCGTTCGGAGCGAGCACCGAGAGCGTCCGCGAGGTAAATCAACCTGTCAGTCAGCCGGTCTGTGGCATGCGGCGCTCTGATTGTGAAGCAGGAGCACGCTGCTCGATCGGGAGGAAACGCAGGCCGAGGCAAACAAAAGTCACAGCTTTCATCTGTGGAAGCGTTTAATCAGGCACATTGCTGCAGAAAACGCTGTCACTTAAAACAGGAAGAATCAGGTCTGACATGACCTCACTTCCTCTGACTGCCACAGGATGTCGCTCCAATAAAACTGAATGATTTAGAGGGTTTGTGCCCTTCCTCTGATATTTCATTGCCCCTGTTTTTCACGCTGACGCTGCTTCCAGCCTGATCTCACACAGACCGTTCCACCATTGTGATGAAGCTTGACCTTTGACCTTCAGACTCGTGTGTTGAGCTTTCCCTGTGATCGGTGCAGGCCGATTGAGTTGTCTGTAAGTACGTTCAAAGGCAGTAATCAGATTACCAGGAGCAGGTGCACAGCAGCTCTCTCCACACTGACACCAGGTCATGAACGTGTCACAGGTCAAAGGTGAGTTGCAGTCGTTTTAATTCATTACGATTACCCAGCAGGTCATGCTTGTGGAACGGTGGCCTCTGCTGGTGAGTGTGGTTACTGCAGTTTCATGAGTGCATGCTGTGACTCACAGTCGTGGTCTAAAGTTTCAGGAATGACACAAATATCAGTTTCCACAAAGTTTGCTGCCTCAGTGTTTCCACATCGTTGTGTCTGATGTTTCTGTGATGTATTAAAGTATGAAACCAGCGCTTCATAAGCTTCAAAGGCTTTTATTGACAATTACATCACGCAAAGAGTCAGTATTTGCAGTGTTGGCCCTTCTGTTTCCAGACCTCTGTCAGTCAACGTCTGGGCCAAACCCTGACTGATGGTGATCCATTCTTACATAATCAATGCTCCGAGTTTGTCACAATTAGCAGGCTTTTGTTTGTCCACCTGCCTCTTGAGGATTGGCCACTGTGCCCATGATGCTGGAAAAGTCTGTGTGTTGTTCGCCAAACTGTTCTTGGATGGTTGGATGAAGGTGCTGTGGGAGGATGTTTTGGTCACATTCTTTATTCATGGCTGTGTTTTTTGGCAAAATTGTGAGTGAGCCCACTCCCGTGGATGAGAAGCAGCCCACACATGAACGTCTCAGGATCTTTACTGTTGAGACAGCACTGATGGAGGCGCTCACCTTTTGTTCTGCGGACCATTCCCCGAACATCAGAAAGAGCGTGACTTTACCCCAGTCCTCAGCCGCTGCTGTACTGGGCGGCTGAGGATTTTTATGACCCTGGTGGGTTTTTGGAGAGAAGTGGAAGTTCATAAAAGTGACAGTTACGTGTATACATGCTTTATTTTATGAGTGCAGACAGCACGACACATCACAAACATGTGTGCAGAACCAGAAACATGTCATACTTCAAACACACGTGTGAGACAAACCTGTGCAGCACCGACCATGTTTGCATATCTTTGTGGGGACCAGCAGCCCGTATGGGGACAAAGTGATCGTCCCCACAAGTTTGAAACAGTTATGTTGTGATAGGCGTCCATATTTCATGGTTAGGGAGACAGCTGGGGAGGGTTATGTTAATGAGATGTCCCCACAAGGACGTGAAAACACGACTGTGTGTGCGTGTGCGTGTGTGTGCGTGCGTGTGTGCGTGTGCGTGTGCGTGTGTGTGTGTGTGTGTGTGCGCACAGACTGATGAGTCACTGTATCTGAGAGGCTCTGATGTGTGGACCTGATGAGGCGCTGCTGAGTGATGCTCTCTTTCATCTCCGTCCTCATCCCCCCCCCACCTCAGATCTCACCTTCCTAACGTCCTTCCCTGCTCTTCCTCTCCTCCCCCATCATCCTGTTTCCTTACCTGTGAACCTCCTCCTCCTCATTAAGTCCAATCCTCGTCTCTGTCTCTCACCCTCTCTCTCGCCCCCCCTCACCTTACTCTCACCTCTCCTCCATCTGTCCCCCCCCTCCCCCGTCAGCTCCCCTTCATCAAACTGAGCCAAAGCAGCCTGCAGGAACTTGCTGCATGTGACACACACACACACACACACTGTTAGTGCCGGAGAAGTCAGGGAGACTTCAGGTGTTACGCTCAGGTGGAAACATGACTTCTCTTGTGTCTTCCAGGCGTGCGGCGCCCTCCGGACATGGACCAACGTGCCGGTGCTAACGTGCATTACACGCTGCTGATCGCCTGCGTGCTGGTGGCCTTCTTCCTGGGCGCCATCTTGTCGGGTTTCCTGGTGTCATGCTACTGCGGTGGCAGCGCTGCCCACCGGGCTCGGAGGCTGGGGAAGGACCCGGAGGCGTCGCTGCCTCACGCCCTGTCGCTGCGATCCCTCGCCAAGCTCAACGGGCTGCTGGACGGACAGCCCAAGGTGAGTGAGACGAGGAAACGGATTCATCAGAGCTCACCTGAGCCCTACAGCTGAAACACGTCTGCGAGCTGAGAGGCAGCGGTGTTAATATTCAGCCCCTCCTCCTCCCCCGGGGTCAGACTTAATAAGCCTCACTTCAGTCTTTTATTCGCTCATTACTATCGAGCGTTTCATTAGGAACTCCATCCTCTGTCCACATGTCCCTGAGCAGGAAACTGAATCTCTGAGCTGACCTCTGACCCTCTGCTCAAATGTATATTTATACAAGTTCCTCATTGTTCTCCGTGGCTCCTCCCACTGAAGGGTCATCCTGTGCTTTAGAGATGAAACGGCAGGCAAAGATAACGACAGCTGATCGCAGCTTTTCTTCTTCTTCTCTTCCTCCAGGAGGACAAACTGGACGTGTCCACCCCAAAGATGTACAGCTCCTTCATCCCCAACGGCCGGGCCGAGCATCACCTCCACAGCCCCGTGCACCAGGGCCTCCCGCTGGGCGACCCCGAGCTCAGCCTGTCCCAGGTAGGAAGCGAATCTGTCCAATCAGAGTTTGTCAGTGTGAGCGATGGAGGATGGAGCGGACTGCAGGCACACACCTTGGACGTGTAATCGATCACATTTACATGCCGCAGCCATTTAATGCTAACATTAAAGATGTTACATGTGTTTTATTTTGAAATTTCGCTGCAGGCCGGTCTTCTCACCCAGTCTCCCTTCCTGTGGACGATGCCGATCTCCGCTGAGCCAGACCGCAGCCGGAGCATCACTCCGACGCATGGAGCACGACGCTCGGCTGCGGTCCGACTCGCCGGAGACGTGTCTGCTTCTGCATAAAGTTTCCACCGAGGTTGCTGCACACATGCGGCTCTCAGACACTGATGTAACTCAGCTGGGTTTAACACATAAGTGCTTAAAGCTTTGCACACAGCGCCCTCTCCTGTCAGCACGCAGCGTGACGTGAGCGCTAAAGCTCATTCTGAGGTTTTCAGGTAGAACTTTTAATCTCGACGTTCGTACTGACGCCACGGCCGCGTCTAACCTCTGACCTCTGTTTAGTCTCTGTCACAGGGGGATGGCGAGCTCTCCGGCCTGCCCACGCCCGACTCCACCCCGGAGCTTCCCATCAAGAACATGAAGGCGCTGCGACACCATCAGTACGAGAAGAACCAGAACTGCAACAACGCCAGAGACAAGCCCAGCTGCTCCGCCTCCAGTCTGGGATTCATGGCCGTCGTCGGGAACTCCATAAACCAGCAGGTGTTTCCCTTCCCTCATCACCACGGCAACAGTTTAAGCAATGGGACGCCCCAGGGGGTCGGCGCCTCTTCGACCTCTCTGCACCTCCCAGAGGAGAGAAAGATCTCCAATGATGAGCGGGCGGCAGCGGTGGGAGGGGGAGGAGTCCCGCATCACCACCACTCCCAGCAGTCCCTCCCCCAGACGGTGGTGGACGTGTCGGCGCTGGACGAGCTGCTCAAACACATCCACGAGGTCAGCGCGTCGGGAACCGGCGGCATCAAGGTCCTGACCTCCACCTCCTCTTCCTCGCTGTTCCCCGGGTCGTCCGGCTCCACCGCAGGGCACCATCACAGCCACCATCACCACCACACACAGACGCGCACGCACCACTACAACCACGGCCATCACCATAGCAACCACCACCATCACCAGCAACAGAATGAGGCCGCGTCCTACCACAGCACCTCTGCGCTGCCGAGCGACGGCCTCCCCAAACGCATCGACCCTCCTCCTCAGAACACCACCTCCTCCTCATCTTCATCCTCCTCATCCTCAAACAACCCCACCTCCTCCACCTCCATCCCCTCATCCTCCTCCTCCTCGTCCTCCACTCCGCTCCAGCAGCAAGTGATTCCAGAACGACCTGGAGGAGGCGGCGGCGTCTCCGTGACGCGCCACCACTCTCAGCGTCACTCCCTCATCAGGATGGGCAGCGGGAGTGGCGCCGTGCCCCGCCACCACAGCTTCAACCAGCGAGGGCCGCAGCATGCTCACTTCCTCGCCAGGATGAACACTAACAACAGCAGCAACAACAGCGGTGGCCCCGCCCCCGCCAACAGCAAGCAGCCGTCGGTGGCCAGCGCCTGCCTCACACGGCAACACAGCTACAGCGAGGGGCCGCACGCCCAGCGGGCAGCCGTCGTCCGGAGAACGGTGTCGCTCAAACCCCAGATCCCTCCTAAACCACTCTTCCTGCCAAACACAGCCACGTCACCGGGCGCAGAGGCGGGAAAGTACAACTACTGAGGCTGCCGGGCACCGCGCCGACATGGCCGCTGCTGTCCTTAGACGCCTGCCGGGCTGGTGAGAGAGGATGAGAGGAGAGCGCCGATGGGCTGGAGACACAAAAGAGACCCAGAGCTTTTTGTCGCCATCGCTCCTCGTTACCACCCCTCAGCCGTGCTTGCTGCCCCGCCGCTGAGAGGACGCCGTCCGTCGCCACTCGAGCATCTCTGGCTCATTGAAAGGGGCGGGGCTCGAAACCAGCACGAACTACTAAACATTCCAGAGGCGGCTCGAGGTGGCCACAGAATTCCAGATTAATGCAGTTTTCTTCGGAGCACTTTGATGCGACATCCTGTCGTCGGGCCCGGATTTCATTCGCCAGGATCGTCAGCAAACCTGAACCCCGCAGCAGGGGCGGCTCCCGTCCCCGTGGGGGGCGCAGACTTGTGTTTTCAGCAGCACTCTGAGGACAGACCACCTCGGTCTTTTATACCATATTGGTATCTGCAGGTCGCCCAGCAGGTGTGATAACCGTCTCCACATCACTACAACGACCCTCTTGCATTAACGCCTGCTGAGCGTCACACCCAGACCCCCGCGGGTCGTTTCAGGCCCTGCACTCGTCTGAAGGGGGCGTGTTTTCTCTTCACCAGCTGAGCGCACACTGTGGAAACTTTAACAAAGTTTGCTCTTAAATTGGTGTTTCACCCAAATTACTGCCACACTCATGCTCCCACTGACCTCCCAGGGTGTCCGGGGTCCGGCGCCCACGAGGGCGGAGCAGAGGCAGACTCGTCACCTCAGCTATGCTCTGTAACCCCGCCCGAGGCTGGTGATGCGTTCAGGTACCTGTTAAACCTTTGAAATGTGAAAATGTGTGCAGGCATGAAACAACCCAGAGTCTGGGAGAGGGGGCGTGGCCTGTTGTCTGCCGTGGCGGAGACATTTCAGTCTGACTTCAGTCTCACTCTGCACCTTCATTAAAAACTACATTTCCCAGCAGGCAGTGGGAACGTGAGGATTCTGTTGGTGGTAATTTGGGTGAAGGTCTGCTTTGCTTCGGTCTGTGGGAGGGTTTCCTTCCAGCTGAAGAACAGTGGATCAGCTGCTTTGTCTTTACCTCGGTGTTTGTTAGCGGCTCTGCCGGGTTCTGTTTCCGCCGCCGGGCTCAGGCAACACAGGTGAGACCGCAGAGCGGACCCTGCAGACCAGCGGGTGACGTGACGCCGGCTCTCCGTGTTGCCTCAGCGTGGATGCACCTGGACGCACTTTCAGGTCTGTTAGCATCATTGTCCACAGACGGATTCAGTTTCTGACTTGTGCGCTGAACACCTGAACACCTGCTTCATGTCACAAACCCTAAAGCTGCAGCTCTTTTAACTACACTGAGGCACAAACACTCAGAGCGCCACCAGTGAGCCGCACGGGCAGCGCCGCTAAACGAAGCAATAAATGTAAAAGAGATGATTCAGGACCTCTGCGCCTGCTCGTTCAGACCATAAAACACGAAGAGTTTCAGATATAAACACCAGTAATCTCGTCACATGTCCAAAAACAGCTGGCATCAACTTTCAAATCCAGTCATTCGAGCTTTGGCGTGGCGCTGCTACTACTTTATCTCATTTATGCCCAAATAGTTTGAGGGTTTCTGGCCCGCCTGGCTGGTTAGGGACAGCGCCGGGGTACATCAGGCAGTCGTACTAACCAGCACAAGTTTGAGACGTAGGCTTGAATGCAGAACACGCGGCTGTGACGTGTAGTCGTCTGAGCGAACTGACTTCTCCCCGCGGTCCACAGCGGAGGACGAGCTCTGCATCAACACGATGCAACACGCAGCTGAGAGCGAGCCGCGGTGCGTGATGCGTTTGTTGAGGTTAAATAAAAGAGGCCAAAGCGCGATGGTTGCTGCTCACTGTACAGGGATTCATGCCACAGCGTTTGAGGCGCTTACATCATCCTCTTTCATCTCGCCTGATTCAAACAGTTTGAAATACTGTAGTCACCGCAGATTACAGCTGCTGTGGTCACTGAAGGAGGCTGCCGCAGGACTCGGAGGCTAAATTTACTGCCAATCCCACCCTCTGCTCTCAGCAGGGGATTCTGCAGAAAAAGAAACGGCGTTTAAAAACGAGCCGAACGGGAAGGTTCGGGCGTTTGTGGCATCACTGCAGACGCACCTCTGTGAACACCGACCCGTTAGACACCGAGCGTTTCTCCAGGCACGGCTTTGGAGAGGATATCTGAGAGGTGTCATCCAGCCGTGACACCTAACGTACACGTCAGGAAAAGGATGACGAACAAGGTTCAGTCAAACACTCAGACTGTCCTTAAACGCACCAACATGGAGAGTTTTCAGGTCTGGATTGTTAAAAATAATGCAAAATAGAATAGAACTGTCCTTCCTCATGGCTCTGTGCCGACAGAGCAAACCTGTCGATACGCATTATTATTATTATTAATAAACAATAAGCCAAATTTAATTCATTGAGATGCCAAATTGTGTCTGTTTCTCTCTCTGTCAGCTGAATATCTTAAACAGAGCGACGGCTGTTTGAACCACAGACACGCCTGAACGCGTCGCCTCGGAAACTAAAACAACTTTTTTGCCTTTCGCATTCGTCCAATCGGTGGAAAAGGTAAAACACTGATTAATGGAAAACAGGGAGGGCTGCGTATAAACACCAAAGTGTCACATCGAGCTTTTTGTATTTGAATTTTCCTTCAGATGAAAATGCTGCTTTAATGTTTTGCTCAGAGTTCTGGTTCTGGTTCAGTTGGTAACAAATCCGTGGTCCTGCTAACGTGCCGTAGATAATTGGCTGAACGCTCCTTTAGACCTGCGGCGAGCCGCTCCAACCTTCACACAGCACAAACACCACGTCAGAGTCTGTGAGCAGTGCTGAACTCTCCAAAATCACGTGTCAATCTTCAAAGGTCCTTTATGAATGTTTCCACTGGGTGCTGCTAGGGGGCGCCGCAGAGCATAAAGACTTTGGCGTATTTTATAAAGGTTTTGTATGAGATGCACTTGTAACCTTGAAAATGATTTTGTTTATTCGTTTCGTGGTTCTCTTCCTCTGAAGTGCTGAGAGGAGCAGAGACGCTGTGGACTCACAGCGCCACCCGGTGGGCTACGCTGAAATGACAATGTAATAATGTCACACACTATTATGTTTACCTTACTGCTATTAATTAACAATGTGGATGACGGTGTAAATAAAGGCTACTGTGGAATAGTACTGGCAGCAGAGTGATTCTTCTTTGTGTGGACTCTTATTCTGAAAGGATGGGTGATTAGATTAGATTAGATTAGATGAAACTTTATTAATCCCTCGGGTGGGATGCCCGGCATTGTTCATAATGTCCAGCAGTTTTTTTAGTGTCCTTTTCTCTGCCACTGTCACCAGAGTGTCCAGCTTCATGCCGACCACAGAGCTAGCCCTCCTGATCAGTTTCTCCAGCCTGGATGAGTCCTTCTTTGCTGTGCTGCTCCCCCAGCACACCACAGCATAGAAAAGTACTCCAGCAACCACCGACTGGTAAAACATCCTCAGGAGCTTCCTGCAGATGTTAAAAGACCTCAGCCTCCTGAGGAAGTACAGTCGGCTTTGGGCTTTTTTATACCGGTGCTGCGTGTTGCATGACCAGTCCAGTTTGTTGTCCACCCACAGGAAACGGTGCTGAAACACAGATATTATAAGTCAGAACACTTCCTGGTGGTTGATGTGCTGAATTGAGGGACACAGCAAACAGCCCAGTGAGGTTTGTGGGGACCTTAAATGCATCGTCTTCATTAGGGTTCAAAGTTCAAGAGTGGACCAAGGATTATTGGTTCCTTCATCACTGAGGAGGATGTCCTGTTGTAAATATATAGGTACTTAACTCTTTGGTTCACTGTCCACACACAGACTGTTGCATTGGTGTGTTTTGTTTACAGAGCAGTAACCACAGGCGTTATTACAGGCCCTGTTCCTGAGTGCACAACCTGGCCAAGGCTTTTTCTTGCAGCGCTCCCTGGGACAGAGCACAGCAGGACCTGAACTGTTTAATGTTTTATTCTCAGTCAGTTGGGTTGATGAACTGTGATGACTACAGTAAGCTTTGCATGGATATTTAAAGCAGGTCAGTGTTCTGGTTCTGAGGTCTTTTATCCTCTCAGTGTTTCAGTCTCCAGTCTGAGATATCTTTGGTCCTGCCGAGGATAAAGATGTCCTTGACAAAGTTCCTAAAACTGGGGAAAAGGAAGTGTTCTCCAGCAGCAGATGGTTTAAGTGAGCGGTGTGTTTGATATTCTGCGGTGTCGTCTGGTTCATTTCAATTCTGCCAAATTAATTAAAAGCATATGAACGAGTTTCTCACATCTGACTGTATGAAGGACTTCCTGCTTTCAGTTTTGGGTGTTTTACGTGTCCCGAATGCAGCTTCAGTGATCCTCGATGCGATGACCCTGAGACGGCGTGAGGACTCGAACCGGCTGTCAGGTGGTTTGTTGTAGCTGTTTGCAGAGGTCCTTGGAGGAGTAATGGGACTGTGACGATGTCCTGGATCACTGCTGATCACCTACTGCTGCGGTCAGTCGAACAGCACCATCAGCTGTGAAATTCAAACAGTGCACGGCGCGCTGTTCGATGACCACAATAAAATAACCGTTAAATAAAACGAAGGACATAAACGCTGACAAGCTGAAAGTCTGAACCCCGTCTGAGGATCCGAACAGGAAAACCATCCTGCACACCTCTGATGACTTCGCTTTATCCTTCCAGTAAGAGCCCGCCTCCAGGTCCAGGCGTCGTGGAGGTGCTGTGCTGCCATCTGCTGGTGTAAAGGTAGCAGGTCTTCTTACCTTGGGTTTCATGAGGTAATATTAAAGAGAGGAAGGCTTTGATAAATGTAAAGACAGTGAGAGAAAAGCAGATTTTAAAGGCAGTGGACTCAGCAGCTCTCAGCACAGTCAGCTCAAATCATTCAGCACTTTTCTTTTTTCACTGTCGAATCGTGGGATTACCTGGATGATGATGATGATGACGAATTGCAGTTTCCTGCCTTCATTTTTGCTGGTTTGAATCAAAGGAGCAAACCTGAGCTACAGTAAAACTTCAGACCACCTCTTTAAAGTCTCTTTGTGCTGGTTTAAGACAAAGGTCCGGCGTGTCCTCATCAGGACGGGATCTGTGCTGGGGTGTGGAGCCTCAGGTTTATATTTTTAAATGTTGGCTCTCACGTCATTTTACAGAGTAACGTGAAAGTAACATAACGAGTAGTATGACTGATGTCTGTACCTAATAAGTAACGTGCTGCATTCGTTTTAATAAAGTGTTCTGTGTAATATTGTAATTGATGTATCGTACTGAATGTAATCAACCAACACTGATCACAACAAAGAGACCTCGATAAGGAATCGAACTGAATCCCATCCGTGCTCACAGCGATGTTTCCGATCCAGAATCTGATCGGGTGTTCCCGCAGAGCATCAAACGTGCGTGTTCCCGTGGGTCAGGTCACGAACACGTTCAGATGTCAGCGCTGCCATGACGACGGCTGTGAGAGCTCCTAGGATTTCCTCTTCCTTCAGCTGCTGACTTCAGGCCTCTCTGTGCATGCGAGCCACTTTAACCTGCTTTTATTTTGAAATGATCAATTAAGTATTCATCCCTCCCCGCCCCTTTTTACCTGGCCTCTCCTCCCCCGGAGAGTCACGTGGTTACAGGTGTATATATGTATACACCTGTAACTCAAACTTTCATCACATTCATTTCCTCTGCTCTGATTTCACGTCTCAGGCTGTGGGACAGGAAGCGTTCATGTTTCCATGGATCCAGCTGTCACCTTAGAAACAAACAGCAGCACTGAGCGCGCTCAGAGCCTGCAGCAGAGAGCCCGGTTCATCAGATAACCTCCGTGGCATGGCTGTTATCTCTGACTGGGCTTGTAGGATTCACTGATCCAGCTAACGCAGAGCAAGCCTGGATATGTTGAACCTCCTCTGTAGCCACGCCTCCTGAGATAAAGTGGCGTTGTTACGATGTGGAAATCATGTAGATTTATTGTCTCACTCGAAATGATTTCTCACCAAATCCTTCTTTTTCTCATTTTAACCTTATTTGAAATGAAATTCATTGAGAAATCTGCTGTAATTAAAGGAAACTCGAGTTCATATCACGATGTAACCCTGAATTCCTCGTAGGCAGCGAACCAAAAGCAGACCTTCATGCTTTGTAACTCTGATGAGACCATAACCGATGTCTTATTCAGAATGACCACGTGGCCATGTATGCATGATGTTTCCATCCAGGCCCCGCCTCAGCAGGTCACCTCTGGGACTCCAGCACTCCCACAGCAGGCGCACACCAACCTGCTGACCAAATCCTTGCCTCCTTGTTGAAGAATGATTGTGGTAATTTAAACTGTGGTAAATGACTTGTTGACCTATAATCTGTCAGAAAAAGATCAACCATATCGCTCGTGAAGATTTTCTTTTCAGCCAGAAAGAGCATTCGTATCACGAAGTAGATGCTATGGTTTCCAGGAGAGATCAGGCCAAGAGGGCAGTTGTCACAAATACAAGATCACAGCTCTTTACACTGGGCTCAATGATGCACAGTCAAAAACAGCTTCTTTCTAGTATATGTAACCCCTTCATACATCTTCTTATCAAGATAAAAACTTGTCGTCCACCGCCGTCAGTCCGGTTCATGAACAGCTGCAGATGTTCGATCTCTGCCGGTGGGCGGCTCTCAGAGCTCAGGTGGAGCTTTTACACCCAGAAACACAAAGTGTCGTTCTGACTCTCCTGCTTTGTCTCAGCAGACACCAAACACTGACTGCCTGGTTTTCCTGAAAAGCAAGTCTACGTACATCTGTTTGACCAACGCTGTTTATAGGGCTTCGAAGCGTGATGTCACGGGAGGGGGCGTGACCGCCGAGGTGCCATTTTAGCAGGCCAAACAAAGGAGCAAAGCATCAGCAATGGTTCGTCCTTGCTGTGTTGGTCGTTAGATCACACGATCGGGAAGGGAATAAGCTGGAAAATGGGCTCTGTTTTTATTCTTTCCCCACCTGGAAGCAACGTGAGGCAGCTCGTGTATCAGATGTTACCAAACGAAGGCGTCTAGCCTGGATAGCAGCTGTGAGACGAGCTGATATCCAGTTCTCTACCATCCACAGATATCTGTTGGTGCTCCAGACGTTTTCATTCAGTTAAGTTCTAAATAAGTTCATATCACTCTTTATAGCATATTAGTTGCTAATTGTTTTTCATTATTGCAGCAAACCAGCCTATGAAATGGATGAAACAAATCCTGACTGGGTTCCAACGCTACACATGGGGCACTACGAAATCCCTGCTTCAAACCACATGCTACACACCACCATGCCAATCAGATTAGTTCTTCCATGTGAAGGTGAAGAGGTGACCCTTCTGGATAAGATGGTGAAGGTTTGCTGCATTTTGGTGAACATGTGCCCCAGTGTGGTAGTAAAACCAGGGAAAATGCTCTAGAAAGAGGTATTTAACCTGGACTCCCGGCAACAGTCGACGCGGGATTATTACTCCGAACTGGTGCAGTCTGTGCGAGCAGTGTGAGCTTGGTATTTGGCTAGCGTGTGGCTAATAGTGGATTTTTCCTCCTTCCTCCAGGAGAGGCGAGTGGAGGAGTGAGTTGGGGAGCACACACACTAGGGAGTTACAACACGGAACGCACTGGGAGCAAGGGACGTTGGACTTGCCTGTCTATTTCACTGTAAATAAACGCACTGCGTTTCTGTGAAGAAGAACTGCGCCTGGGTCCCTGTTTTCCATGACAATTGTAACTGATGTTCTACAAAGTGGTTTTAATTAAAATAGGCAAACATTTATTTCTTTATTCAACTTTTGAACTGTGGTACTTAGTAAGTACATATTCAGTAAATGCAAATTATTTACATGCCCCCCTAAATTAAAACATTATGGGTTATTCAGAACAGAACTATGCTTGGAGAAATATTTTCCCATCAGTTGATCCAACTCCTCCACAGTAGCAGGTGGAATCTTTTCTTTTCCCTGTCACTACAGATGGTCTGTTTATGTTTTAATCAAGAGCCTTTTTTGGGGCAGCTGAAGAGGAGAAGTCTATCTTATGGCCAACCTCTGGCTGTATCTTGGTCATATTACCCAGCAAAACCCAGTATGCAGGTTCATCTGTAACAGTCCTTGTGCCACAGATCCCACTGTTGCTTCTACATTAAACAGAAGAGCAGCGAC